CTGGGTGCAGCCAAAACAAACTCCTAATTCCTAAAAGAGTCTCTGATACGATGCACTGGAAATTTGCCGCGGCCCTGGTTTTTTCACAAAATGAAAGCCTTCTTGTCCAATCGCAGCTCAGGTCACCGCCCGTTTTCAGCTCTTGGAAGTTCCTGGACTAATCAGCGCTCGCCTCCGTGTGTTCAGCCATTTTGTAAGAAAATCAAGCAAGTCTGCCGCCCTACCTTCGCTTCAGACCTGCAGTTTTTTTCTTGTGCAATGGACGGGTAAGTGAAAAGAGCCACACTTAACACTTATATTTATAAGACAAACCGATCGCGTAGTAACTTCTTATCTTTATTTCGGTTGCTTATGGACATATTGTGATGTTTGAAGTACCTTCGCTTAACCGTCGAAATAGAAAAGTTAACTTCAAACTGTTTTTTTCATCAAAACATGCAACAGTTAGCAGGAACGTAAGCTAGCTAGCAGCTGCTAGTCGTCGCTAGCGTTGGCTAACAGTCAATACTAATGTGAATGTTTTAATGCACTTATTTTATTTATTTAATTATCGCAAACGTTAGTAACTCTAAGCAAGAGCAACTTAATTTGAGTTGTGATAGGAACATTTGCCTTTATTTAAGGAAGACAATGATAGCCTCTTGTTTGCTACGACGGACATTAGTTTTTGGCTAACGGTACCTTTGTAACTTGGTTTCACGGGAACTCGAGCGCTAGCTAAAGCAACGTGTCTCATTTCCGCGTTCATTTGTTCGCGGAGCGCCAGGGCCATGTTGAAGATGTCTGGCCTTAACATTTGATTGAATCGGGGACTTCTAAACCGAGTTATCTAATCGCAGTAGGGTACATGATAGCGTATTGTTTAGTTCGAACATGTCCTTCTCTTCTGATCGTCTGATGTCGTAACTTTGAAGGACTTCGAAAGTAGCTCATAGACAGCTTTGCATTCGCCCCCGGCGTCTAGTTGTAATTATAGGTGTTTTTCTGTTTCAGTTTTTTTTTTTTTTAAACTCACACAAGTTTACTTGCATCTCTTTTTAAACCGTTATAGCCGCCTAGACGCTGACTTGTACCCTCTGGGATCCGGCTACGTCCCTGAAATTGAGTAAGTAAATTTTTGTGTAGTTTTGTCTTTGTGTATGACTCATTTGGGTTCCTGTTGCTATTTATGGCTTTAAATAAGGAAGTAGTTTTCCTTTTGGGCTAACAGTATTGTAGGATTGTGTGTGTATGTGTGTTTTTTGTTTTTTCGATGCAGTTGAATGTTATGCGGCATTGATAACAATGACTTAAGGATAGTTTGTGGATGGTTTTCCTTATTTTCTTACTGAGAACTTTCTTTCTGTTTTGCAGCAGTGTCCATGACATATCAGCTGGCACAAAGGTAGGCAGTTTTGAGTCATCTTCCTCTTGGTTGCTTATTTCCTTTTTTATTTTACAGTATTGCACTCCTTTACTACAGCATAAGTAATGACTCCCACTTGCTGAAATTAGTATGTAGTGTTTTTTACTCCAAATATGGTCTTGTAACATATATAGTTGTGACTTTTGGTTTGTGTGTGTGAGAGAGAAATGTGTAATATTGTACAAAGGTGTGTTTTTCAGAATACAGTGACAATTCCAAAGAACTGAGCCAGCTCTGGTGGCACGTAGTGTATCACTTTGCAAGCCTCCTCCATAATACAGAATACCTTTCCAAAGCTTTTTCTCATGTGTAATAAAGTTGCAGGTGAAGACTGACTTGCTTTTTAAACATTCATGAAATAGAGCTGAATGGTCAGCACAGAGGTTGCAGCAAGACGGTGGAAGCAGATTATTCAATAATTATGTTAGCATAGATTCTCTGAGGTGGAGCTTTCATGTTTTCCTGTTCTGTCTCCGTTTGCCTGTGTGGCTGTTGAAATGAAACTTCCTGTTGTTTATTTGTGTGTTCCTTAATAGTCTGTTGGTCTTATTGGAATGTGGGAAAGCTGAATTCTGCCCTGACTCTTGTTGTTGCTCAGTTGTGTTTCAATTACAGGGCTATGTAACCATCATCGCTCTAACAAAACCACAAAGTCTTATCTAATGTTAAATCCTTAGCAAGAATTGGACTTGTAAATTAGTCACTGAGCTGTTGTATTCTTGTGAAACTGAATGTTGATGCATGCAGACTTGACAGGAAGAAACCACACCGTTTCTTCAGCATGCTGCTGGTTGTTAAAATTCCTGTTTTTGCTGTAATCCTTGGTAACATTGCCTGGAGCAGCTCAGTGTAGGTGGACTAATTGAGCTCAACCTAGATCTGTAGCCATCCTCCCGGCCAAAGGTCTTTACAGTGTTTGAACAAGCACTCTTATACACACCCCCAATACATGGGACACACCCCACCCCCTCTATTCATTTCAGTAATGCCTGTTTCTTTTCATCATGTGCACTAATACACGATTTAATGATTGCTGCTTAATAGTGAGGGTTTAACTCCAGATGAGATTGTTTCTTCTTTTTAACTACTTCTGTTTTCTGGATTTAAAGTGCTGCGGTAATGATGACACTGAGTTATGGAGCCCTGCCTTGCTGGAATCTGTAATTATTCCGTCTGGGCAGAGTGTCTGGCATTCCGCGGTCACATTCCAATCTCCCCCCTCCAGCCCCCTGGCGAGGCACAGCTCCCTGCCCCCTCCAAGTGTGAAGGCTGATCACAGTGAACAAACATGCCTATACCTGTGCTTCTCTCCTTTGTACTTTTCCTGAGAGAATACACCAGCCAACCCCCTATAACCCTAAATAAGGTTGTTTGCAAAAGGCAGGGCACATACAAATAAATCACCTCAGGTTTAGTTTTCCTTACAAGATGAACTTCCCTATGTGCTGCAGTACAGTTGGAGAGTATGTGTCCCTTTCCCTCTTTTGCTGATGCAATGCAAACCAGGTTTAACTTGGTGAATGGGACAGAGAAATTGCTTCTGCTACAGGTCAACTTTTAAAAAGTATTGCCGTTGTCAGTGAAAAGAAGCTGAAGTTTTGGTGTGTTTGCCAGCGGTGTGTCATCACTCTGAAGATTATTGTTATCCTGTCCACATCCTAAGCAAACAAAGGAAGTGAACACGTTGATACATATTTTTTTGGGCTGTGTTGGACTTCACAAGCAAATGCGTGGTCAGGTCTGTTTTTCTTCTATAGGCTTAGCAAGCACTCTGACACATCCTGTTTAAATGCTCAATTGTAACACAAGTCTCCATTTTGAGAGTGACTTGATGCTCCTGCTCTGCACCATGGACTGTCTTAGCTCTGCAGTTGTTATTATTAGAATGAGGAAGAAGGAGGAGGGAGTCGACATTTAACAGTAACCTACAGTCTCCCCAGAGGAAGTTTAGCGAAACTCTGGAAGCAGACCTCATCTTGCTGCTCTTCCTGTTTGGAACCAGTCTGCTGAGTGATAAGTGTGCCGCTGCCCGCCCACAACCAGCGAGTCAGGCTGGAGCCACTTCCTTCATTTCTCATGGTTTGCATCTGCTATTGGCCGAATTATCGGGACCAATTTCTTCCCACAAATTGGAACACATCATTCTCATCTGTTCATTGTAATCAGTGTTGTCTTGTTTATTTTATTTTTTTTTATTTGTTGTTATTATTATTAATATTTCTAACTTTTGGATCATAAGTCTAAACAGTACACTAACCCATTACTCATTTATATTTTAGACTGATTAGTTCTGTCAGGCTGTGTAGAAGCCAGAGTATTTATACCACTGCTTGTAGTACTGTCTTACTGCAGTGTTGTTCTACTGTTTGGAGGCCTGACCAAATGTTGTCTCTCATAAGTTTTTGTATGCAGGCTTACCTGACCCCACCCTCTACTTAGATTCACAAGGTGAAGAAGAATGCTAGCAAACCTGCATGACTGGTTGTTGTTAAAGTGCTGCGGGGCTCTTCAACTCCCAGAGAGTCCCCCGGGCTACATATGTGTGTGCTGCTGCGTAACAATGTCCCTAGTCTCAGCCTGAACAGGACCTTCATTGTAGAGTGTTGTAGAGCTTATGCTGCTGAGCCACTTCTTGTGACTGCAATACTTCATCTCACTCAGCCACAAACACACAACCATGTGAACAGCCCTGAAACAGCACTTTTTATGTACTAGAGAGGGAGTCTGTAAAAGGCAGACAGTAGTCTAGTGTGGACTGGAAGTGTCCCCATCTTGTCTTGCGATCCAAAAGGCTTCAGTGTGTTATCCCTGCTCCTGATGGATTATATGAGAAGATGGAATGTACTCACCGACAGCTATTTGGCCAAAACCTGACTGAATATTGTCCTTCAAGCTGAAAACTACCTGTTCCAACTTAAATGTGTTATGCATAATTGTGTTTTATTGCACATTGTCTCAAAAAATATGGCCTATTGTTACAGTGGCTTGAGGTTTGGCAATACTGTAAAAGGCGTTTAATGGAATGGGAAGTCAGATATTCCTGCTGACATGATAGTTCACTGGATTCCTCCTAGTGAGGAAGGTGGAGTTTTTCTCAAGTGTGTTTGCTCAGTTCTCTTTTGGTTATCAGATTACTTCCTGCTTTATCACACAATGGCTTAGTAATGTGAGAACCGTGCTCTCCACCTGCCAAGCTGTGCCTTCATTGGGTGAACGCACTGAAGTGAACCATTGTTTCCTTTCCTTCTGCAGAGGGGATCCGACGAACTCTTTTCTTCCTGCATATCCAACGGACCCTATATCATGAACTCAGGTAGGGGGTTGCCATGGAGGGGTGAATCCCCCTTTTATTGAAGTGCTTGACGTGTTTGTGTTACCATGGTTATCAATCCATTATTCAGGAAGAACCGGAGCCTCCTGTTCCCTCCCTGATTGTATCTGCTTCTGTTTTCTCTTGCAGCCAATGGCAACGACAGCAAAAAATTCAAAGGTGACGTCCGCAGTCCTGGTGTTCCATCACGTGTGGTCCATGTACGCAAGCTGCCCAACGACATAAATGAGGCTGAAGTTATTGGCCTGGGACTGCCCTTTGGGAAGGTCACTAATTTGCTGATGCTGAAAGGGAAAAACCAGGTAGGAAAGACAGTTGCCTGTCTGCTTACCAAACTGTATGACTTGCAGTTTTGGTTGAATTATTTTTTCCCAGGCCTGAGCCGAGGGATCAGCTTTCTATCCTTCTGTCCTGACCTAAAATTATAACAATGACCCTTTTGTTACATCCTTGTGACTTTGTTGGTAGATAGACACTGCTTCATGTTAAGATTTCCTGGAGGAATACAGCAGATCATGAAACACCTGTTTTCTGTTTGAAGTAGTTCTATAACCAGTAATACTGTAACCATGTTAATTGTGTTATTTATAATGGTTAATAACAGAAAAAAAGAATTGATAAGAATGTTAAATTTGTTGCATTGGGGTGTCACCTTTGTTGTATGTGATGGGATAAACAAAATAAGTATGTTTATGTCCCAGGCATTCTTGGAACTGAACAGCGAGGAGTGTGCACAGACGATGGTGAGCTACTACTCCTCTGTTACCCCTGTCATCAGAAACCACCCCATTTACATGCAGTACTCAACCCACAAAGAGCTCAAGACGGACAACTCCCCAAACCAAGTGGTAAGGGTTTTACAGCAGCGGCACAGATCTGTGCACTTTATATTTATTTTAATGGTTTGCATTTGAGGCTTCATCAGCTGTTTAATTTATTGCTTGATGCTGGGATTCAAGTTTTGGCTCCATACTGAAAAAAATGCATATTGAATAACTTATTTACATTTGTTAAAAGTATCATTTTGTTTTACAACATTATGCTGCACACATTCACTCTGTGGTACTATCCTTTCACCACTGATGCTGAGAAGTATTTCTGTTTCTCCTTAGCGTGCCCAGGCAGCTCTGCAGGCAGTTAATGCCCTTCATGGAGGAGGAATGGGAAGTGTGGCCATTTCTGCTGATGCTGGTAGCATGGCTGGAGCAGTGGCAGCCCAAAGCCCTGTGCTCAGGGTCATAGTGGAAAACCTCTTCTATCCTGTTACACTGGATGTACTCCACCAGGTAAAGGCAGCTGCTACAGTTTTTTGACTGGTCAGAGATGTTTTAAGTAACTAGTCTGGGCATGCCCCACCCAAAAAAAAAAACCATCCCTCAAATCTTAGCTGTATAGCTACTGATTTGACCACTCATTGTCTAGTACTAAAGTGTAAAGCTATTTTGCAGTTCTCAAATTCTTATTTATTTTAGGTGTGTTAAAATTATGACCTTTTATAATCGTGTCTCTCCTGCAGATTTTCTCTAAATTTGGCACAGTGCTGAAGATCATCACTTTTACCAAGAACAACCAGTTCCAGGCTCTCATCCAGTATGCTGATGCCATGACAGCGCAGCATTCCAAGATGGTACGCTTGGTTCACTTTTTTTGTCAACATGGGACTAAGATTAGGACATTTTGAAACAAAGCAATAACATTATAGGGCAGTTAGTACACTTTGGGAACAGTCGCTCAGACGTCACTAGTTAAACTCGCCACTGTAAAAACACACCAGATATGTTATCTCAAGTTTAACAGAACACTGTTTTCTTTAGTCTCTGGATGGGCAAAACATCTACAATGCTTGCTGTACTCTGAGAATCAGCTTCTCCAAGCTTACCAGCCTCAACGTCAAGTACAACAACGACAAGAGCAGGGACTACACCCGACCAGACCTTCCGACTGCAGATTCACAGCCCTCCATTGACCACCAGACCATGGCAGCAGCTGCGTTTGGTAAGAATGTAGTCCATTCTTTTTTTGAATCAGAATTCGCAGGATTTACTTCACTGTGATTCTTTTAATTTATATTAATAAAAAAAAATCTTACTTCTATATCTTGTTGTTATAGCTGCACCAGGTATAATCTCAGCCTCTCCCTATGGTGGCGCTCATGCCTTCCCCCCAACCTTTGCTATTCAGCAGGCAGGTCGGTACAAAAAATATATTTCCTGCTATTCTGATTCGAATGTCTGTATTTCAGTAGTTTATTCAGACGTACATATAGCAGATAATCTTCATGATTAAATTATTTCTCAGGTTTTTATCTACGGATTGCATTGAGTTGAGAGTAATTTGTGGTTTACTGCTCTTAGGTCTCTCAGTACCCGGTATTCCTAGTGCCTTGGCGTCCCTCGGTGTGGGCCCCACTGGCATGGCGGCGGCAGCGGCGGCCGCTAGCCGGCTCGGCCTGTCAGGGCTTGCTGCCGCTGGGGGCCACAATGTCTTGTTGGTCAGCAATCTGAACCCTGAGGTCAGTACACATGCTATTAAACAGCTCTACTACCTTTGCTTTTGTTTTAGTTCAGTGCTGAGCTTCATTCAACAGTTACATTGCCTTTTGTTTACGCTTGTGGATCCACTTGATCAAATGAAACAAATGCTTTTACGCCTCATGTCTTACCACTTCACGTGATTGCACGAGGAACTACCCTTACCACTATTTTTAATTACAAGGGGGTCATTAAGTCAAAACCTCTTCCCTTTCAGGACCTCTCTGTGTTTGACCAAACCTGCTGCGTTTCTGCCCTGCCACTTTGCTCACTGTGAATTTTAAGTTTATTCAAAAAACTAACTTCTTTTTTTTGTGTTTTCTTTAAAGAAAACTTACCATTTCATATCTTCATTTTTGTCCATTAGTTAAAATCATTCTTGAGTTGTTGGGGAGACAATATTACTTTTTTGGTCTTGTTTTTAAAGCAACACATCATGTACATTATTCTCGTTAATAGTGTATAAATATATAAGTAGTCTTTAAGCTCATTACATTTACTGTAGTTAATGTAGTCAATACACTTAGTTTGGTTATTTAAGGATTCTGTTTAAGTTCTTCAAGAATTATTAAAATTGATGGTCAGAATTTTATGTTTTATATCATTCTCTACGTAATCTAAACAAACATGACATTTAATTTAAAAGTACATATTGTCTCTGCCTTTTTCCTGTATTTCATTGTTAATCTTTTTTTCTCTTCTCTTTCTCCTAGTGTTCCCATAGTGACAGTGCATTTTAATTTAGCCAGTTCTACTGTCTGAAGCACTACATTTCTTTGTGTATACTGACCTTGTTTTGTTTTTTTTACTTCCTTTTCTCTCTCTCCTTTCTGTCCCCCTAATCCCTCTTTTTGGTTTTTTTTTTGTTTGTTTTTTAAACCCCTCACTTTAAATCTTGCCAACTGACTGCACGCCCCATGACCAATTGTTCCCTCTCTCCTCCTGTCACTCCTCTGTTATTACTACTGTAACCACCTCCTTCCATCCACCCAACCCTTTTTCCTTCCCTTACCATTATCCCTAATTTGGAAATCCCCCACCACCACCACAAATTGAAAACACATACACTACATTGGCACCTCTTTGACACCCTGATTTTCATTTTATTTTATTTTATTTTTTTGCCATGATCTACCTCTCCATCATCTTTCTTCCCCCCCATCCTCACATTTCTCTTCATCCTCTTATGCTATTCAAATCCTCCTCCTCTTCTCTCTTCATTCTCTTCGTCCCTCATGCCTCTCCTTCCTCCATGGTACTGTGGCCTTCCTGTGGACCTCGCTGCCTGTGGCCTGCGGACATGTCCCGACTCCACTCCACTGTCCTCCACTCCGCTCCGTCTCTTTTCCCCTGTCCCCTGTTCCCTCTCCCCTTTTTGGCCCCCTGCCCCGCTGCTCCCTCCTGCTGTCTCTAAAGAGCGTTACGCCACACTGCCTCTTTATTCTTTTCGGTACGTTATCATCCTTTCATCTCCTTTTTTTATTACTACTGTTACCTGGCAAGGTGGGCATGTCTTGTCTCATGTTGTTGGCTTTTATTTATTTTTAACCACTGATGGCTCATCATCAGAGTACAGGGCTATGGCGGGTGGGGGTGTCTGTTTGAGGGTTTGTATGACCTGTTTTGGTTGTTGTGGGTTTGTGTGAGGAAAAGTATGGTGAGAACGCCACATAAAGCTGCAGCATTTCATTTAATTTTTAAAAGCTATGATACTTGTCCATGGGCAAAAAACATTTGCACTTTTTCCATCTTCAAAGAGCAAAGCCCTTCAATGTAAATATTGCCCCGCTAAATAGAAATGTGGGAATGATTTTGTTTGGCAATGAGGCAGGAGGCCGATCTAAAATTTAAAGCATCACCATAAAGAAGAGGATAAAAGTCAAACCTTTATTGGTTCTGCACCAGCCAAATTTAGTCATAAAAAGTAACTAATTTCATTTTTACATGCTGATTTTTTTTCAGTGATTCTCTCTCTCTCTGCTGCACTAGAATGATGAAATGCTGCAGCTTTTTTTGTGATTATGGGTTGACATAATCTCAGGATTATGTCACAGTTTTATTCTCTTGCAGTTTTTCTCAGTTATTCAAATGTAGGTATGTGCATGTTTAGTTTATTTCTGCATGTCTCTGTTTAGACCCTCAAGTTTGGGAAGTAATCAACTCTATCTTCACAGTAGAGCAATCAAATTGATCACTACTACTCATTTTACTAATCTTTGATTTTTGTCTTCAAATCACGATTTCTCCCCTCTTAAGGCATTTTAACATCTATGTGTAGTTAGTTTTAAGAGGGCTTATGTAGGAATGGTTACAGGACACCCATGCAGAATTGAACGTAAAGATTATAGAATAGCCTAACGGTAACTTCAATCACACTGTTTCCTTAGGCTTAGTGTGAATATTTATATCTGATTTGATGGTTTAAATTGTTGTTGTTGCTGTGATTGACTGTGTGGCTCCTGGTTTAGGCATGATGCGTGTAGCATTTGCTGGACTTGCATTGTGATGCTTTTCCCCTGCCTCCTTAGGTGTGTATGGCGATGTGATGAGAGTGAAGATCCTGTTCAATAAAAAGGAGAATGCTCTAATCCAGATGTCTGATGGCACACAGGCTCAACTAGGTAGCGACGCTGCAGCCCTACAAAACACAATTTTCTGTCTTTGATCTACCACTTTCATCTTTTTTTTTCTTTTTTTCCTCCTCACATTATTATACTGTGCATTGTTTGCAGCCTTTGCTTAGAAGGGTAATTCAGCTCCTCCTGTGATAGACGGCTGATTATCTGCTTATTGTTGTGGCTGTTCAGAGTTAAATTAAGTGATGGAGAATGTGCTAACAAATTTGATAGACAACTTGAAAATAGTGTGTTGAAACCATGTTTATGTGACTTATGTTTTTCAGCTATGAGCCACCTGAATGGCCAGCGTCTTCATGGCAGGGCCATGCGTGTGACGTTGTCAAAACACACAACAGTGCAGCTTCCCAGAGAAGGCCACGAGGACCAGGGCCTCACAAAGGATTTCAGCAACTCTCCACTGCACCGTTTTAAGAAGCCTGGCTCCAAAAACTACTCCAACATTTTTCCACCCTCTGCAACACTCCACCTCTCCAACATACCGTGAGTGTTAACCTTAGTGTCATTTCTACTCTAACCCAGCAACCATTTGCACAATAATCTTTTTCCTTCAGGTGTTCGTGACATTATTTCTAAGTATGTGGAGGAGGGGGTGGTTTTTATATTTAATCATGCCTTGTTGTTTTACAACTTCAGAAACAGAAACCTGCAGCTTAGTAAACAAACATAAACCTACAAAGCTTTTTAACTTCTCTGCTGTTTTGCTTTCAGGCCTTCTGTGGTGGAGGATGATCTCAGGAGGCTATTTGCCAGCTCAGGAGCAACAGTCAAGGCCTTCAAGTTCTTTCAGTAAGTTTTGGTCCATTTAAACCCAATTTTCTCAAGTTGTTTGTTTTTTGCGGCTGAGTCCTTCTTTCTTCAGAACACTCTACAACCTTAATTTAAAGCAGGCAATTTAACCAAGAGCTGCTGTAAAGTGTTGGCCTTTTTAGTCTGCTAGACACATGAACTAGTTTTGAGAGTACAACAAAGCAAATGGTGAAAAACCCACACACAAGTGGGCTGGATCTTACACTTTGAGAACAAATTGTTCAATTTTTTTTTTCTTTCTTAAACAGAAAAGATCGCAAGATGGCTCTTATTCAGATGGGCTCAGTCGAGGAGGCAATAGAGTCCCTCATTGAGTTCCACAACCATGATCTGGGGGAAAACCACCATCTTCGAGTGTCCTTCTCCAAGTCCACCATCTGAGTGCCTTTCCTTTCATCCTCCAAGTCTGTTGCCATCTGAATGCTACCACTCTCGAGGTTGCATTCAGTGGAAATGGCCACCATTACCTATTTATAGCTGTTTCTTTGATGAATGTTGCTCCTTTCACACCAATTTATTCACCGTCATTAATAGGTTCAACATTGTTTATTCATTGTGATTCTCTTCTAAGCTTAAGAAAATGGGGGGGGCAACTTAATTTTTTGTTGGTTGATGTTGTAAAGTCTTAAGTTGATGTCAAAGCTTTTTAAATTAAAGTGTAGAAAAATGACTGCCATAAACTGGTAGATGACTTCTGTAGATCTATTGACTTTTCAAAGTGGGGAAAGCAGGGATGTATTAATGAGGGCTCCACTTAGGTAGGTCCTATTTTTAATACAAGCTGTTTCACAGTAATCATTATACCTTTGCTTCCCCACTGGGACAACTCAGAATGCCTGTTATTAAAAAACACCTATTCTTCTGCGTTATCCTTAAAAGAAAAGCTCCTGAATTTGTACACTGGCATCCTTTCATGACTTACTAAACATTGCCCGTTTAATTTATCTGTTTATCTGACAGCATTCTGTCATTTAGAGACTCCTTGCTTAAACTCTAGCGTTTGTTCTCACAAATCCACAACAATGACGGAGAGAGCCACAATACCTGCAAAAGACTTGTGTGAACAAGTACTGTCAGTAGCAATGCCAGCGAGGTGTAGCCGCACTTTGGAATATTCTTTCTGCCATTGTCACTAAGAGCAGGGTGTGTTTGTTGCACAATGCTGATCATAGGACTGTACACCGCTCCTCCCACAGACACTCAGAGATCTCTCATAGATGTTCGAAATATGCAAAATGTTACTATCTACATTATTGCTGTTTAAGGCATTCTCTAGTGAGCTGTGCATCTAACAGATGTACTAGAGACATGCACAGTGATAATGCTGTGACTGCACGCGCTCGTGTGTTGAAAGTCTTACATAAGGTCCAACCTAGTAAGAGTGCTGTTACAGCTTTTGTGGGTTAAGTGGCTAGGGTGTTCATTTAACACAAACCCGACACCTTTGGATGCTGTCAGATTATTGGAAGGGATTGCATGTCTGAAAGGGGCTTATCGTGTTGTCCTTTAAGCTTTGTTACACTTGCTAGCTCTTGTAACAATGGAAACGCATGCATTCTTGCAAATGAAACTATTCATCTAAAACTTGATAAAAGCTTTATTAGGAGGTCGGGATCAAATCCAGTCTAACATTTAATAATATTCCCCCCCCCCCCACATAAGTTTGCATATGGGGTCCTGGGAAAGAGGCAACATTCTACAATGAAACATGTTTGTATTTTCTTTTTCTTTTTAAATTGGAGGTAAAGTAGAGGCAGCTGTTGAACTGTCCTTTTGAGACCAAATCACTTAAACACCCTCCGCCACAGATGTATGCTTATGTGGATGAATTGTATCCGCACCAGACACACTTCAGCATTCCTTTTTATTACAGTAGTTGTGTTGAGATACGTGTGTGTGTGTGTTTGCCTTTTTGAAATGCCACTTAGAACCTGTTTGGCCAGTGAGAAACGGTTTGAGACAAAGGATTAAGTTTTGACTCTGAGACCATAAAACTTATTTCCCAGCATCCATTTTTATTTTACTGTGTGACTTTCCACCTATTTACTTCTGGGGATCCATACCACTATCAAAGGTTATTCAATAGTCCTGTTTCACAGCAGCTGTTTTAATGTGAAATGGAAGTAAACACAAGTGTTACTAATGATATTAATGAAGGTTTAAGTGCAGAGCCACAGTTAATGTGATTAACAACACCCTCCTATTTCATAACAACATCACTGCTATGAAAGAGGTCTGGTTGAATGCATTCTTTCGCTGTCTTTCTCTCTACAGTCTTGTGCCTTACTTTGAATTTGTTCCAGACAGATTTGCTCTGGCTTAATTTGGTAATATATGGCTCTCAATTTTTATTTTATTTTTTTTGTCCTTTGGTTTGTACCAGCATTGTTAAAATGGGGAAAAGTGGCTCATTTAATCTTCTGTTTCTTGTTTAAAAAAACAAACAAATGTTTATCTCTGTATGCATATAGCCCCATTATATGTATCTAGAAACTATGAATGTAAGTCAGTTAGATGCTTAATATCCTTGCTAGGTGATGTAGCTCTGTTAGGTGTATCGTTGCAGGTGTAGAGCTGTATTCAGCCTTTTTGTCTTACAGTCTCCTATCACTTAGTCCTCAGGACAGTTGTTTGGAGCCTCATTTAACCACATTACGTTCATATATATGTGGACACCTATATATTCATTTATCTCTTTTAAATGTTAAAATTTACTTGTATCACTTCTAAGCTTAACTGATAGCTATTTGTAGTAGCTGGGTTTGATCGCTATCTCAGTGCCTTGACTCCTTAAGTTTTTAATTTAAGGCTGAAACAGGCACGATTAGTTGATTTTGTTTACCTCTCATTCAGGTGTTTGTATCTTAGCCTGTCTACAAAGATGCCTTTATCCCATTATATTCAGGTAATCGTACCTGTGAGAGGGCAGCTCTGACTCACTTGTCAATTGATGGTAATAACAGTCTTGAATGGTGTTTGAAACCCCAGTATATCTATTTTTTTTCCCTTAAATTTATGATACCAGAATTGCAGGGTGAGAGTCCTCACCCAGTACCCTGTCTGTGTACACTTATGCCACAGTCAGGTGCGTTTAGTGCACTTTTTTTCTCAACAATAGATCCACCACGCTGAAGTCTTACACGTTGTCACATTCCTGTGTGCCTCAAGCACCAGTTTCCACAGCCTTGACCACTGTTGTCTTGGACCAGATACAGATGTGCTCTCTCTATTTTTGTAAGATTCTTATGCATGATTTAACAAAGCTTCATGTAGCTGCAGACGGTTATTGCTGTTAAGGACCAAAGTATGTTCTACCCCTGCTGTTTTGTAGCGTTCTGATTTCTTAGGAGTATTTTTTTGTCTCGTCTTTCACCCCCACGTTACAACAAATACGAGGCAGTTCCAATTTCTATTCCTCAGATGCTTTGGAAAAAGTCACATTAATTGAAATTGTCTTTTGATTAACAACATATACTGTATATTGTACCCCTTTTGTTTGATTGACTTTACAAAGAGCCTACTTTGGTAGAGATCGCTTAGAATGAATACTTAATTGAACCGCAGTCCTAGCTGTGATGTTGTGTAGAAAAATTGTATGCCTTTCAATTTTGTTAAAAGCTTTTACTTTTCTTTTTCTTTTTTATATGGGGGCTGGGGGTGGGGGTATTGTATGAAGGGGGTTGATGGTTGTATATATTCATGTTTTTGTACCACAAAATCATTTGGAGTATATCCACATACGTTCAAAACATGTATATTTTGATAAAACAGCACAGACCTATTAAGCTCTCCTGAGCTGTAAAACAGAAAAAAAAACTTTTGTAACACAAAGACATTAAACCTATATGAACACAGAAGTGTCTCTGTATGTGCCCCACTCCCCCCCCTTGCCATTCTGATCTTGTCTCTTGCATCTTCTGCTGCCTTCAATAAATCTTTAGTTTGTTCTTTCTTTCATCTGGCCTCATTTGGTTTCTGTCTCTTCCTCGCTTTCCTTCTGTACCGGTTAACATCTTGTAACATTTTCAACATTTCTCATCCTGTTGACTGCTGGTGGGTTGTATTTTGTCCTTTACTGCGTTTCCAGCTTCATACTCATCCCATCTAAACTTGACTGACTGCTCATCTGGACTCAGCGCAATCCTGTTACAATTCCTTGATGAAACTGTGGTGAGTTAATTGGGGATGCAGTGCTGGATACTCACTATTCTCACTGATACAGAGTAATCCTGTGCTCTCGTTTGACCTTTTGAAGTTTAGCGGGTATAACTCGGGAAGGAGGGGTGTTGCTGTGGAAACCAAGGTACTGTATCTCATAACGTTAATAATTAAGAAAAAACTGGAGTATAGCTGCCCAGTATATCTGGTATCCATGCTTTATCAGAGGTGCCCTGGGATGCGAGGAGAGGTGAACCCCAAACCCCTGTGAGTAATTTTAGGTGTACACCTTTTTGGCCACTAGGGGGAGGTCTTGTTCTCTGGTGGTGATCAAAGGTTTCTGAACAGAGGTGACTTTACCTGCCACTCACACAATGTCAATAGTTAGTGGCTTAATCTCAAGTGCTTCCCATGGCTTTCTGGCATTATACCCTTCTTTTTTTCCCCCTTGTCTCGCTATCCTCCTTTTTCTTCTACTACTTCCTTACAGAGCAGTGGAGAGGATTAACCTCAGCTCTTCCTTGCCTTTGGAGGGGGGGACAAATGAGAATAGAACTGAGCCCAGTGGTGTGTATTTGTGGCTGAGACCTGGATTTTGTTGTATTGAGCCAGCAGCTCATCGAGTGCAATCGTAAATATAGCGAGCTCCAGCTTGGTTTGAATTTCACGCTCGTTTTTCCCGTGCCATTACATTGTGCAGAAAAGCATGCCTTGAAGGTCATATTGAAGAAAGATGTCAGTCGGAATATTTGATGAGCACAGCCAAAATGGGGAAAAATCTGCATGATATTTTGGCATGCTAAACTAAGGTGGTGCTAGCCCAAACTTGCATTTTCATGTTTAAAGTCATTAAAAATTGCAACAAGTCTCACGTTTTATGTTCACCTATGTTTTTGATACTGCCTCAGAGACTTTAGTTTGCTTGCAGCATTTTTCCATTTCACTCTCTACTAAGATTAATTTGAAGCAGAGACCTGTGTGCACAGAAACCTCTTTGGAATATACAGAAACACAAAGACATTACATACTTGGGTGGAAGGGTAACTCAAAGTAAGATGATCCAAATGTAGATACGTAATGTTCTTAGCTCGCAGAATATGGTGCTTTGATCTAATTTTAAACTTTCATGCAGAACATTTTTCTTCCAAGATTGCTCTGATTCACAAGTTACTCGACACCAAAGAAGGCCTTTATTTTATTTTTTTTACTGCTCAACTCCTTTGCACTGTCTAAAGCACACAGAAAGTGCACTGCATGTGCACTTTAAACATAAGCGTGCAATTTGTGTAATCATACCCCACCTCCCCTCCCATTTGTTTCCCAAATACAGACCCTTGGGGTGTCCCTTGCTTGATCCCGCCAGTGCCCATGTGCATGGGGCTAAATGAAACCATGTGGTGTAGTAATTCAACCACATCTGGCAACATTTATTTACATTAGTACTGCGGTCTCTAATCAAGCACGCCCTGGCAAACATAAAGGCCACACACAAATGAAAACCTCATGCTTAATGAATGGGGGCAGGGTGGACAAGTGGTTCAAGGAGCTGTTCTGTATACAATTTCTGACATTTTCAATCCCTAAAGCAGCCATTTAAGTCAGGAAAACACTGAATTTGAATGGCTGGTTTGTGAATGAACCATTTGAAAACACATTGGACTTTTGAATCTCGGAGCTTACTCATGTCTACAATTTATTTCTCTTGAGCAGAGTTAAACTGCAGTGCAATCACAGGCTTAACCAGCAATATATTCTAGGATTTAACACCACATTAAGGAGGCATGCACCCTTATGCTGACTCTCTGACCAACACTCTTAGATTTAGGTTCACCTAAGAGGCTGTAATATCAGAATCAACTCAACACTGTTTAGTCTGTGTTACTTACATGAGCTTTAGACTCGCATTAAGAGTGTAACAGTTGAGGAGGAAAAGTATGAAACTGAGGTGAAGGATGTCTTTGGTCTATAGTGTTTCCTCTTAAGGAAGCCATCAGGAGACTATCCACCTGTTTACATATGCACGCCTCAGACAGATGTTGAATAATTCATACACAGAGGCGGACAACATGCAGCTGTATTTGGGTTATGGGGGTGCATGGGTTCTCTCCCTGCCTGAATTTGAAGCCCAAATTATAGACATTACTTTGCAGGCAGAGCAGGGCAGAGGAAAAACTAGGCCACTTTGCATAAAGGGTCCAACCAAGAGGCACAATGAGATGTGAAGGATGGAGCAGTAGAAAGCTTGGATTTAATGTAACAAGGCCTTTTAGGTTTGGGAAGTTTGGAACAAGTAATTTGGGTTTGATTTGGGGGAAACTGTCTTTTGTAGGAACATCAAAGTTGGTTAGAGGTCGCTCTTGAAAACCCTTTTACTCGCTCGTGATTCTGCAAATTGTATTTCTCTCCTTTCATTTTCTTAACGTGGTAATGCCCTTCTAAAGAATGCAAATGAACTTGTTGAAAACTGTTTTCTGCAATCAATTCTCATCTTGTTGAGACTGGATTGATCCTCGCTGGAGCTCATTTTGCACAACATAGTCTTATCAACACGTGTTCGAAAACGCATGGAGCGCTTTGCGGGAACCACAAGTGTAGTTACTATTTCGTCTTCCTTTGGGGGGAGACTAAGTACCTGCGATAGATACGTTTTTCGCAGAGTAGTCTGCACATTCTCGCAGGACAGAGGCATCAGGGGCGGCAGGGCTCTGTCAAACAGCTATCTGGAGGTTTATGGCTCACAGGTTTTAGACTCGGTGCTGCCTCCGCTTGCCATTTGGGCCTAATGGACACTGATGGAAAATGACTCCACTGTTCCAGCGATCCATCAGACGCCCTCTTTCTCTCTCCATTCATCAGAGAGCGGCTTTCAAACAGTGAACTTCGTGGGCAATTTACATGCCCCATAAGATGCAAATAAACAGTCTTTAGTCAAATTGATGATTGTGGTGAAAAATAACAAAGTCAACTTCAGCTATAATTTACCATTTCCCTCTGGGGGGGGGGATCTTAATGTCAACTATTTATACCAAGATTTCGAATTCGTGTCACAATAAAAAGTAATTTAATTACCTAGAATGAAGCGTTTAAGTGACTTCAGACTTTCCACTATACATCTCCGGCTGCATATGGCCAGGGCGCAGTGAGTCAGCCAGCCACGAGTCCCCAGAGGGAGCGCAGCACAGCACGGCTCCAGACCCCGCCCGCTCAGAAAGAAAAGCGAGCGGGAGATGGAGAGAGGGGGTGGGGGTTACTTACACCGAGTCGGGGTACCTCTGAGTGATGTTGCCGCTATAGGTGGAGGTTGCACGGGAGCGTGTTGGGATTAAAGCTGTAATCATCGACGGCTCCCTGCCTGCGCCGGTCAGCGTGACGCACGGAAAGACGCGCAGTAACTGGAGTTACGTTGGATTGGAGCCAGTGGCAGCGGAGGGATCACCAAGTTGAGACGCCGTGAGAGCTTACGGTTGTTTAACAAGGATGCTCCCGTCTTGCAAATGTTATTTTGTGACAAGTTTGAGCAAAAAATAGCGAAAAGGAGCGCGCTTTTGTGTGCGGAATGCATTTTCTTGAACTGCAATAAGAGAAAAGGTCAAGTGGACGCAGTTTTAGGCTGCAAAGAGATTTGCACTGTGGAACAAGCGGAACAAAGCGTGCGCCAGGCGCAGCAGAAATCTGGGTAAACAAATATGACGGCCGGTTCTGGCGTTGTCTTAGGTCTGCTGATGAGCTACGATATCACCGACAGAATTGTAAACCTCGGATGAATTCTGGAGTCTGATTACCATTTTTCTGAAAAGGGAGAGAAAGAGAGCGAGCGAGCGAGCGAGAGACAGGACCTAATCCAGGTAGCGCATCTCTCTCTCCGGCTGCGCGTAATGGGAGAAAACTTTCGGACCTTGCAGAGGAGACGCACCAGCAGCATCCCGCCGACGACTACGCTTCCGTAAATACCATGTGAATTCTTCTGTTTTATACCTAATTGGCCAAGTTTGAGAGTGAATTTCAAACATTCAGTATGACTTGAAACACCCCCGAGGTTATCGGAACTTCAAGCATCAAGCCAGTTAACCGCCGAGCCGATTTTATCAAAAGACGCGCAGAAGGACATTGATGATCTAGAAAGGATTTCTGGAGCAGCAGCAGCGCAGTGAAAGCCTGATATCAGTTAGAAATAAAAGACTCCCCCCCTAGATGTCTATGATGTTGTGCCAGCTCGGGCAGAAGTGTGTGATGGAGGTGGTGTTGCTGGCCATCCTGTCTTGGGTGTCCGTGTGGGCGGAGGAGAAGATCATATTTGACAGACACGCTGTTTACTGGAATAGCTCCAACCCCAAGTGAGTTTTAGTAGGAGTTCGGCCTGAAGGTGTGTGTGTGTGTGTTTGAAACATTGTTTATCTAGGCTGCCTGCCTGCTATAGATGCCCCTCAAAAACTCTCATTACTCACATACACCTTGAAATCTTTAAGAACCTACACATTTCTCGGTCTTTTGTCATGTGCCGTCTGATCACATCAGTCTTATTTACATTTAATTTTTATTTAAGCAGCGATTTGGCAGGAAGCTGCAATATTGATGTTTTAACAACACACACACAGACAGAGGCAAATGAAAGTGTGTGTGTGTTTGTGTGAACCTTGGATATTTTATTCTGTGGCACAGGGAGCTCCTTTTGTTTTAAACAATGAGGGCATCCTGCCTC